GCTTCATGGTTGCTGTCTCTTCTGATTTTTCTTTTGGAACGTAAGCTAACAGCTTGATAATTTTAATTAAAACATTTGATAAATATTCATACTAATTTGTCTATGATTTGCAACATTTTTTTTCACTTGAGATCAGCCTTTGCACTGGGTATTCTCACATGTAGGTTGAACTAGCAGTTCTATTTTTCAGTGTACTTGCAACCATAGTTCCCTGGGTTTTATTTTAATAATCTATGCAATTTTCTTTACAGCTTTCAGTTCTTTTGCATAATTCAGTCAGTTCTCTTGAGTTAGCTCTCATATGTATCAACAGAACTCAGCCATGTGGGCTCCCTGACCAGTAGGAACTACCTCCTCTACAGAATAGTTCATAAATCTCATAGAATGACTACGGTTGGAAGGGACTTTGAGACTTATCCAATTGCAGCTCCCCTGCTAAGGGCAGATACCTCCCCCCAGCTCAGACTGTCCAGGGCCCCATGCAGCTTAACTTTGGACACCTCCAGAGATAAGGGCATCCACAGCTTTGCCGGGCAGTCTATGCCACAGCCTCACCAGCTTCTGAGTAAATAACTTCCTCCTAATATCTAGCAAAAATAATCTCCTCTTCTAACTTAAAACCATTTCCCCTTTTCCAACCCTGTTTAAAAAAAAAAAAAAGTCTCCTTCCTGCTTGTATGCTCCCTTCAAGTACTAGAAGGCTGCAATGAGGTATCCCTGGAGCCTTCTCTTTTCCACACTGAATGAACCCAGCTCCCTCAAGTCTTCATAGCATCCCTTGACTAGTTCTTCTTTAGTCTTTGATTAATATGCTGTACAAAAATACACTATTCTTGTGGTAGCTGTTTTTATGCTTTGTGATCAGCAGAGATTGTGGAAATACGATTCTGATGTACAGATTATAGAAGAGAAATGAAAAACTGAATTCCAATTTGTCCTTAACAGACAAATTTACTGGCACAAACCAATATTTGAATAATATTGCCAGAAACATGATCTATAGACCTATATTTACACTGATACTGTCCATATATGAATTTAGCTAAGCTCCACAATTACGGAACGCATACAACATCATTCTGTGGTATGAACGTCTGTTCTTAAATTGCTTATAGAAACTGATGTACAAGTCAGCTACTTGCTGACATGTGAAAAACAGAAAAGCTGACCATTTTTCAAAGGAGATTTGCAGCTACAAAAGTGCTTCTTCTGCACAGGGTCATGACTGAGTACTTGCTAATTTTTTTTGAGAATTATGTAGCAATGGATGACAAATAAATAGGCGAAAATTAGTGTGGCACTGAAAGAAATCACTTTGTGGAGAGAGAAGACATTGCTTCTGAATTCCAGAGTTAGCTACTTTGAGAAGAATGACATGGAGATTTTACTGTTTTGTGTCCTTAGATTTGGAGTTGTCAGTGGAAATATAGGACTGCTAAACATATAATATGATTTGTCACCTAATTGGAAACTAGGTACATAGCTGAGAACAGAATAATTGAATTAATTCTCTGAGCTGACACAAAGTCTTGCCCTGACTTTTGCCTCTTAGTATTCCAAATTGCTGCTTCCTCACTTGCAGCAGTGCCTGCTCTAGGACCTGTGTATGAATACTTGAAGAGGTTGGCAACTTCTTTCTTGCAGCTTCAGTGTCCCAGTGTGTGATGCTTTTTGAGGACTGAAAGAAGTGGTTGCAAGAGTAAGTATTATCTGCAATATAAAAAGGATGTTAAGATACTTAAATACTTAAATACAACCAGAAGGCAGTAATACTGGTAACAGGGCTGGAAGCAGTGTGCTGTGAGGAGAGACTGGGGTACTTGGGCTGCCTGCTCTGGAAAAGAAGAGGGCAAAAGGTGACCTCACTCCTCTCAAAGAAACCCTGAGGAGGGGAAGCAGAAGGAGGTGCTAGACTCTGCTCCTGAAAATCCATGGCAGCATGAGAATAATGCAGAGCTTCACTGGGAATGTTCAGACTAGACATTAGGAAATAGTGTTTGACCACTCTCACGGTAGAAAACTGAAACGGGCTTCATAGTAAGGTGGTTGATGCCCAGAACCTGTCAGTGTTCAAAAGGAAGCTGTCGTCTTATCAATAACATTTTAATTTCTTGTTAGCCCTGAAGTGCTCAGGCAGTTGGACTTGATCTTTGTAGGTCGCTCCCAGATGAATGATTCTAGCCTTGTCTAGTCTTTTTCAGCTAGTGCAGCAATTCATCAGAGCGTGGTCAGCCACTAGTGTGGGCTAATCTGAGATCACTGTGACTTCTGCTTACTATATTCATTGTAAAATAAGCCATTTCATCTGCTCAGCTTCAATGCAGCTTGGGGAGAGAGGCTCCAAGTTTCCCCATCCTTTAAGCCTACATACTTGTCCACAGCCTGCAGTGAAAACATGGGACCTGACTAGCAAAGAATTGAAAACTGATAACAGATGATAATTCCTATGAAAGATTTGTTTTACTCTTTCCAGATTAAATAGTCTCAAAATACCAAAATGGCCTCCTTCCACAAGTGATCAAGATTCTAAAGACTCTTGTTGTTTTAAATGCATTTAATGATCAAACAAACCCACAGATAAGTGAATCTTGAAAAGTAAAATAACTTGCTAAAGCAGAAGCAAGATTAGAGAAAACAGTCTCAGATCATCAGATTCCCATTTATTTTTTTAGCTTTTTTTTCTGTTGTTTATAATGATTAATGACAAACAAATCATCCTCATTATCAGCTTCCTTGTCTCTCTGATGGCACTAGGAAATATATTCCAAAACTGTTATCTAAGTAACAAATGCTTGTTTATTTTTATGAATGTAACTCTACCAGCTTTTCAGCTAGAAAACTGAACTCATCTATCATTTGTGAATTGTAAGGTATTGAATTATGAGCCAGAGCCTAATTTGTAGACACAAACATCTACAGTACGCAGCCAGCTGGGCCCAGGGATGCCAGTACAATTGGTGCCCACAAGTTAGTAAGAGAGCTCATTTAACTGTCTGTCTTTGAAAACTGTGCTCCTACATTTCTAATTTAGTTTGGCACCTTTGGAAAAGACATCCTGGGTCTTTGTTACAACTGAAAATAGATTTGCGTGCTTGGAATTCATTTAGATAGCATATGTTGCTTCAATTGTTATTAAGTCAAAAACATTACAACACTTTGTCAATAATGCTGCATAACATTAGCAATTAATTGGAGGCATCTTTTTGTTGTAAAAATAAATAAGTTCTTCTGTCCCGTATGTGTGCTTTTTAATGCAAGCCCTTATAGTGTTAAATTACAGCTGCTAAGGTAAAGGTGGAATTCAAATCATATTAGTGAATAGAAATGTTCTCAAAGAGATAACGATTGAATTTGCTGAGCCTATGAAGTAGTTTTTGGAAGGATTAGACATTCTGGTTTGTACTTTTTTTGTGGAGAGCATAATCTGCTGTACAAGTATGCACCTCTTAGAGGCAATTTATAATTAATATAATTGCTTAATGGGACATTTCCCTTGACCATAGCATGCCACGCTGCCCAAACATCTTACACTTCAGTGCATTTTTGAAAGGCCACTGGCATTTCTCAGACAGGAGAGTAAAAATGTTTCCAACAAACAGATCATCCTGCATCACTAAAGCAGGTCAGTAAGTTGATCATGAAATCCCAAATCTCGTATCCTGCATATGTTTGGATTGCTAATATATTTTCTAGTTGCCCAGTTCAAAATATCTGTTCAGAAGCTATACCTTCACTGATATGAGCTCCAAGTGTTGCTTTTAAATTATGATAAATTGTGAAAAATTCAGTGGCCTTTCTTAGAGTGCTGAGGGATCACTAAATAGTACACATAATCTATTGTTATTATGTAAGCTGTGTTTTCTACTGATTCTGGGGTGACATCACTTTCAAATACAGAAGAACCCAACTGAACTGGAGAGTGAGTGGTATCTCTTCATTAGGAATTGAGTTGAGTTGTTTTCATAAAATAATCACACTTCAGTTTCTCACCTTTTCCTTGTTTTGCAAAATTGTAATCAAATGACTCCAAGAGTTTTATAAAGCTTTTATTAACAAGTAAATTATTTACAACTTTAAGATTACACAGAACTATCTTCAAATCACATGTATTTCAGTGACTGTTTCTGTTCAAAACAAAAAAAAATTCAGAAGAAGGGAAAACATACACAAGAATAAAAAATTACCCTGGAAATTTATATGCATACATATAGGTATATATTTTAAATACATAGAGAGATTCGAAAAATAAGTATTTTTCATTATGGGAATTTGAGACAAATTTTATTTTTGACCACGTAAAAATTACAAAACAAAGCAATACGTATCTTTTCATTTAACTCAAAATACCTGGTGGGAGACAATGGAAGTACCAGGAGGAGAGAGTTATTTCTGTTGAGAAAAGCATTTGCATTTCTATTTGAGCAGCAGGTGTGATTTGATTTGCTAATTCAACAAACTGAAAAATCAATTATTAATATATCTCTAACTTGTCTACCTAAATAGAAGGTATTCTTAGTAATTCCAAGCTGAATATGAAATGACTTGTAGTAGTACTAGGGGAAAAAGTCTTGATGGCATTCATTTGTTGGTTAGATTTAAGATTAAGAATACAGGCACAAACCTAGCCAATCTTTTGAAATTCTGCTTCTGTCTCTGAGATGGGGAGAAGCAAAGAAATTTGGATTGCTATGGTATTGTTTCTCATACATGTATCAGGAAATGATTATATCAGAGACTGAGATGATATCCATTCTTCTCAGAAGTTATTATGCATTATTTACAACTTTTCCTTCAAGTCTTCTTTTTACAGTGTAGAACGTGTTAAATCGAAAACTAAAGAACAGAGTTTAATTCAGTGTCATTTTTGGAAGTGATTAGTTAATTTTGTTCTCAACTTTGTGGTTAAATAAAACTTAAAAGCTGTGTAAGGCACAACTTTTGAATCTTGAAGCAATGACGTGCAAGGCAAAACCAAGATTGACATTGATATTTATTTTTAGGAAACTTGCTACTGAGAGCATCAGTGCAACTGAGGTCAGTATTGCATTTTTCTGCTGCTTCAAGTTGCCAAACAAATGAATGTCTTTGTACTCTGATTATCTTTTACTGTTTTTTTTAGAAACAAGCATCAAAATAACAAAGTGTATCAATGCTGTGTACTAGGTTCTGTTAGACATACAGTATGTCAAATGAATGGGACCACTACTGTTTTCACTTGTTTCAGTGGAGTTTTCCTAATGGATTTTCAAGTGGACAAGTATCAATACGAATATATTATAAAAGCAAATGTTTAATACAATCCCATGTACAGTGTACGGTCCCATGAATGGTAACAACCGTTGTTACAATGTCAGCTAACCCCCTCACCTTGACAAATTAGAATAAGGAATAGTTGTAATCATTATTTGAACAGCTTTCAGTGATTAAGCTATTCAATACATTACACTGGGTTAAGCTGCAAGAAAATGCTGATTTGTGCTTTGTAAAGGCATTCAGTGGAACAATAAGCTGGAAAAATACTCTTTTAGTGAACATATTCAACACTAATAGATTTAGTATGTATTTTTATTATTTTTTGATGTATTTACTCTACTTGAAAGTGGAACAACTACAGTAAAATAAAATTAATTGCAGAAACTGCATATATAAAAGAAATATTTTACAGGTGATGATGGTTTGTGTAGCTCAGTGGGTGAGAAGAGCTTGTCATAGAGAGTGTTTTCAGTATTTGATCTGTGGTTTTGCTCATCTTTGAGGATGAAAGTGGGTCGTATTGCATGTGCCTGACCCTTGAGGGAGGTGAGTGTAGGCTGTGCTTTATTGCAGTTGTTGGCAGAGCAGTTTTGAAGAGTATCTCAAATCCTAAAAATACATTTGTTTGTTCTGTTGTCCAGTGGTAAAACTTCCGTGCATAAATGATGCCTGAGAGTAAATTGCCACTGAATATAGCTAATTAAACTAATGCTAATGGTAGCCCTGTGTTTTTTTCTTCTAAAGCATCTGCTGTACTCCTGAGCATGAAAGAGGAATACTGAAATACAAACGTTGTTTTACTAAACCTCTGTGTTCGCTAATTACAGAAAGGACGTAAGGATTGAAACGGAAGGTGGAAAAAAGAACATACAGTAATGACTGAGCTTTCCTTAGAGTTCTATTTCTATTACTGTGTATTTGGGAAATGAATAGAGTTATTTTCAAAGTACTTTATACTTGTTCAAAAGCAAAACATATAAAAGAAAATTATGTTTGGGGGTTCTGGAAATTGAAAATATCTATTAATATCTATTAATTCTCTTTCAATCATTAAAAAAAAAATGATACAGAACTGAAGGACCTTTGATATAAGTCTGCTGCTTTGATCAATCCTGTTATTGTTGTTGCTTGAAAAAACTCCTTCTACTGAAAAAGCTACCCTAAATCATGAAAAAGTGTTTATTTCAGGATTACCGTGGTATCCTTTACCTGGATCCATGCATCTAATCAAGCCTGCTATCTTTCCTTCATCTTTTGTCCTGCTTACCAAAATAAGGATAGCTACTGCTCTAGCTGTCTTATTTATATCTTTCCCTTCTCCTCATCCTCACATTTAATTAAAAGCTTGCTGTTGTGTGGTAGGGCAGATAGATGTCAATTTTCATTAAAAATGAACTATAAAGAAGGCAGCTTTCAAAAATACAGCCATCTTCAAAAAAAAAAAAAAAATCCTCAAAGAGGATTATGGACAGTAACAATAGCTATCATGCAGTGCTTGAGTGCTTGGGATTTAAAGCTTCACAGTGAACTCATGTTTCTGCTTATATAGATGATACAGAGAATGGATGCAGCAGTCCCAGTACCAAATAGCTTTCTATGAATTGTAAGGAGTACCTTAAATCTGTGCCATTGATGGAGGGCAAAATACAAAATCCTGAGCAGCTCAAATGAGACCGTAGGCATGTGGATAATGTGGATACGTATTGTGTGTATACGTGTACATATAGAAGTAGACATAAACCTGGAGTAAAATCTATTGTGGTATCTGTATACATAATCTTGCTGTCCATTGAAAGATGGGTCTTTGAGAGTATGAACCATGCACTTATTTTTTTTATGGAGTTAATTGCTCTTGGGATGGGGCTCAATCATCTTTAGTTTCCCACTATATGTTCGTAGGATGGAACTGAATGATTTTTTCATTCAGTTTGCTGTTGTGATGTATTCACAATAATATAGCTTAATGTCTTTCAGCATTGTTACATTTTTATAGCTTTTAAAAATGTACACAATGATCTTGCTGTGATTTTGTTCTTTGTGTGTTTGGGTTAATTTGCTTAAAACCAAAAGGCCAACAACTGCAGCAGTGCAGAAAGTAATTCTGAAACTTCAGTATATATTCCTTTGTGCACACTGACTTCTCCATTTTTACATTGGAAGCAAGAAGAAACAAGATTGTGTATCAGTCAAAAATGTTAGTTTTCTCATATTTCTCAGTTCATTGCAGTAAGCATATAGTAAAAATCTGACATGATCAGCACTTATTTTTGTTTTCAAACTAAGGAACTAGGATGAAATGGCATAAATAGTCAGAAATGAGACTCAGTGTAGTTTTACTTATTAACAGTATAAGGGCTAGCAGAGGTGTTTACTGTACTTTATTGCTTATGCTGTTGTCATTAATTGCTGTTGTCAGTAATTGTATTGAAATGGTGTGTTGTTCTAACTCTTGCCATGGTCTGAAATAGGTTTATTTTCTTTTGCTTGTTTCTGAGCTTTCGTGTAATATAGTGAAATCAGTTTAACCTTTGACATTTTAACCAGCAGATTGGAGAGCAGCTCTAGTGAGTTTATTCAGAAGAGCTTGATTGCTCTGTTGGAAAGTACATATGCAGATGTCAGTGACTGAAGTGAATTAGCCATCTTGAAAGACACTTGAATTTACACTGAAGTTTTCTAGTTCTGTTCTTTGAATAGATCCCACAGTAACTGAATTCTCATATTTTGCACCAAAAAATGTTGTACCTTATGCGCAGAACTGAGAAACTCCCCTGACTGTTAAAAAAATGTCGAGATGGCTTTTGAGAAAAGAATATCTGATACCACCTGTAGCAATCTTCTCATTCTCCGTGTTCTGATATTTCCATATCGAAATTGATTTCTATTACTGACCTAGGGATGACACACAAGATGACAATGTGCTGAGCATTCAATGTCATTTCAGCTCCTGGATATTTGTTGAAATTTTCAGCCCTTCATTCCTGTTGCCTGACAGAGCTGTCTTCCTATACTCAAATCTTTCTATGTACTGGTTAGCTTCCTGCAAGCACTGTGCTAAATGAAAAGAGGATCCCAGAGGAAGGACACAGCACCAAAGCATCAGACAAGGTTACAATACATGTTAGTTCAGTCCATCCCTGAGAAAGACCTTCATCTTTCAAATACTGACTCTTGAGATTCCACTGGGCATTCACTACATGCTTTGTTGTCACTTCTGAAGGGAAGACAGGAATACCAAGTTTCCTGAAATTTTATTGAGGGAAATTGCTGCCATGTCTTAGTAGAAGATAGTAGAAGATTAGAAATGCAAGTACTATTGATACCTTCCTCCTCTCCCCTCTGCCCCCCCCCCCAACACACACACACAGTAAGAAAGAGGCAAACTGAGATTGAAGCACAGATGTTACAAAAGTGGAGGTGAAATAACAGGAGTTCCTTTAGAAAGTATGGTCTTGAAGAACAGTAATAATAACTGGTCTTTAACATCTTAAAGAAAGAAGTCATTTGCACTGAAGTCCTATTTTGCTGAATATTATTCAAGTAAATAAGTTTGAGATGAAAGAATTTCAGTATATCTATTTTAGTTGAATAGCTATGGGAGATGCCTGTCCTCTTTCACAGTGCAATAATTGGCTCAAATGCTGCTTCCAGTTAAGCAGCTCCTATTGACTTAATGAGAATCTATACTGTGCTTATAAGTTTAGAGTGGGAGGTCAAGGTCAGAGCAGGTACCTTCATGAAAGTACTGATGACAGATTTAAAATATTAAGACGATAGGGAAAAAAAAAAAACATTGTCTGAACATGAATTTCATTTTCTACAGTATATGTTTAATAAGACACCTGAAGTAAAACCCTTGAGAGTCTTACCATCAGAAGCAAAACGCTGCAACCCCCTGTGAAGGTGATGTGCTATATTTTCTCAGGATTTCTGTAGGTTGGTCTTTGTCACTGACATAGCGGGGTGTTTTGCTATGAATGTGACATTTCTGAAGAGATCTAGACTTTTTTAGTTCTAATAGTGATTGAGAAGTTCTCCAGCAATAAACCTCTGTTCCATCTAACACGCTGTTTTGACAAAAGTAGGGCCAATCTGGTGTTCTTGATACACTGTTGTGTACAATCTTCGTTATGCCTCTAAATGCAGTTTTTAGAAAGGACTTTACATTTATAGCTGTAACTGATGCTTGTTTATGTTTTCTGCATATGCCCTTCCTTTATATTTCAAAGACCATTTTATATCCATATGTGTATGTTAGTGAGCTTTCCATCTTTATGCATATTTTTAATTTCAGGGAATATACATAGATAAGCTTTGCAATTGTGCAGTATTTAGCCTACAAAGACAGTTCTGTTGTCAGGGAACTCTCACACCTCCTAAGGCTTGACTGGCAGAAGCATGTTTTCCAGTTGAGTTCTGCCAGTGGTATTTGTGTATGACAAATAGGACCTCAAAAGGGAAGAGATTCAGGCAAGACAGTGTGATATACCCTTCTGCAGAAACATAAATGATTTATTATATAATTCTGAATTATTAATGTTTCATCAGATGGACTTGAAAAGCTTCAGCACATTATTGTAAACACTGCATCAGTTCTGACTGACTCCAGGTAAGATTAAAGTAAAAAAGCAAGGTAGAAGACAGAGCTGACTATAGTGACTAAAAATCTCTGAGGGTCACAAAAGGAAAGAGCTTTGATCAGTGTCATCAGAAGAGTGTTTAAAAAAAAAAAAAAAAAAAAAAAAAAAAAAACCATTTAAATGTTCTCACTAGAAGTTAGC